CAGATGATTAGCTTGGGCTAAAATGTGATCAGTATTACTATACAAGTATAAACAAAATGCAGTGGAAAGAGAGCAGGTACAGAACTCATGGAGTCCGGGAATGCATGGAGAAAATAGCATTTAAGGTACAGCTTTAAAACTAGGTGGAGTTATTTATACGCAGCAGTGAGAAAGAAGGGACTTCCAGAGAGGGGTATCAAAACACAAACAAAGGCTAGGAAGTCCAGGGTGTGTTTGAAGACAGGTGAAAAATGTAATGGCCTCAACAGCATAGTGTGTGAGTGGGACACGGGTTCTTGGGAAAAGGCAGGATAGAGAGCGTGACCAAAGACATTAACTATAGTGTCCGAACAAGTGTAAGCTACTCTATTCCTTAACCTTTTCCCTTCGCTTTTTACTTTTAGAGAATTCTACCATGCCATAATGTACTCCAGTAATATAATACCTCACGTTTTTGTTGTTGTTAGATGCTGTTGAGTCTATTTAGACTTATAGGTACTCCGTGTGACAGAGTAGAACTGTCCCATAGGTGTTGTAGTCTGTAATCTTTACAGGAGCAAATCACCATGTCTTTCTCCCATGGAGCCACTGGTTGCGTTTGAACAGCCGACTGTTTAGTTAGAGTGCTTAACTGTTGCACCACCAGGGCTCCTTACCTCACGTTTACTGAGCGCTTACTGTGTGCCAGGCACTATGTTGAGCACTTTCCATGAGTAAACTAATTTAATCCCCACAAAAAACCCTCTAAAGCAAATGTCATTCCTATCCCCATTTTGCAGAGGAGACTAAGACATGAGCTGTTCATTCACTACCCCAATGCCCCTCAGTTAAGAAGTGGTGGAGATGCATTCCTAATGCAATTCAACCATATGCTAGAAATGTAAACTAGTAGTATGTCATCTCATTGCGCTCACAACCAATCATTTTATTCTGAATTATGGCAAGCCTGCTTTCTTTTAGAAGTTTCCATCATAATCAGCCTAAGCCTATGCAAGTATTTAGTTGCTAATGTCGAGAGGAACTTTGGCTACCTCTGGAGATAGAGATGTGGAACTGTAGTGCCCCCCAAGCCCTGACCAGATTGAGTTAATTAATCTGTAACTTTAACACCCTAAAGGCCCTATTTAAATACAATTCCACTATTAGTGCGGAGCTCTGGGAACCTTGATTAAAACTGAATGCACTCAGAAGCAAAAAGTGCAAGTCTGTCTGTAATTTAAATTCTCAACATAAAATGTTTCACAAGTGTCATATTGTTTTCGTTGGTTCTTCAAATACGTGTCACAGTTAGTCATTAATAAAGTGATAATGTTCTATATGAATTTCATGAAGGCACACTTAGTCTGAGAACATCAGAGATTTCTACATAAGCATTCATTTTATAAAAAAACATACATGCAAGGTATTGTTATGGACTATATTTGGATGATATTGTCAATTCATAAATATTTCTTTCAAGATCTAAAATGCGGTAGGTACAGTACTCAGTAGCATTCAACTCCAGCTTTAGTTTCTGACCAGTTTTGGTACATTCAGGCAGCTTTCACTTATTTATGTTAGTACACGGGAGAAGTGACACAGATAATCCAGGCATCATTTAGTTTGAGGATGCATTGTTTGAGGGGAAGCATTACTGTCGTAGTAATCCGGGGCATCGTCTAATAGTAAAATTAGTTTATAGTCCTTAAAATATATGGGAGCAGGAATTGAAGAATGTCCTGATGGCTGGAGCAAGTCCACAAAAGCAGTAGTTATTAGCATATATGTGAGGGCTTTTTAAAAAAAAATGATTAAAATGTAAACAATGTAAGGAATCAAAGATAAGAAAACATGCGAAAGAGAGAAGTTGAAAAACAGGCGGCTTCTAGCATTTCATTTTACTATCAGGCTTTCAGGTTATATCCTCATGGTTAGATAGATATTGGGGACATAGGGCAGGAAAAAGAGAAAGAAGGGGAGACAGACCTTCCTAGATAGAGACTTGAACACCGAAATCATACCACTGTCCTTCTGTTTGGACCTTTTTATTCTCACTCAACTAATTGCTGAAGCTTGTGCAAGGAAAGCCATAGGTGCTTGCTGCTCAGATATCAAGTGATCTTAAAAACAAAAAGGAATGGTGCTCAGGGTTCCTACGAAAAACTCTTAACTGAAGGAGACAGAAGGAGGGGGTGACCTATTCTCTTCAACGTTTTAAGATTTCCTATTGACGTTTATGACCAATGTATGTAAAGACCTGTTCTGATTGAGCAATCTTGCTGTGATCCATATAGTGCCTTATTTCTTTAGACATAACTTTTTTTTAAAAGGACTGAAACTTAAATTAATAAACCAGCCAGGGCTGCATGCCAACATGACTTGAAAGTGAACTGGAATTTATTGATCTGCAGCCTACAAGCTGTTCTATGCCGCACTGCACATAAGAAATGAAATCTTTAAAGTTGCCCCCAAAATTTTAATTACCTCAAAAAGGATCTTTTGCATCTTGAGACAGTACTGGTATTTGACCAGAACCTTCTCCCTTCCACCACTCTTCCCTCCAAATTGAGTCGTTAGTGCCTGGTATTGACAACAGTACTAGCTAATGCAACATTCATAATCCATGCTCACTTTTCTGCATTAATGGAGGGGAAAGGAAGAAATGGCATGCTAGGCTGACCACTGGAGATCCTGACCATAAGGAGAGGAGAGAGAAGTTCAGAGAGGGAGTGTGACTGTCCTTCTTGATGACAGTGTCAAAAAGTAAGAGATGTAACTAGAAACTCCTAATTTCCTTCATTAATTCATTAAGGATCTTACTTCCTGGAATATCTCAAACTCCTTAAGCCTCCTTCAGTTTTCACTAGGGGCTTTCTCTTGAAGAACCACATGCTGTGTAAAGTTGTCATGTGTCCTACAAGAGCCTTTTAAACTTCAAAGGGGTTTACCTGGTTTTAGTCTTCAAGCAGTGAATTAATGGATGCCCCGTGTTATCCTTTGTGGTTTTGTAAACTTTGCCTGTCCCTCCCCTCAACTTCTGTTTTTTCTTGCTGAATTACCTCGCTTTTCTATCCTACTCTGTCAGCCTTCATTTTTCTTTGAATGAATGAGTGTGTGTGTATGTGTGTGTGTACCAAGTCAATGAGGGTTTTCCCCCCTCAATTCTTTTATAATACTTAGAATATTTTATTTCTTGAACTTCCCTGGACTTTGCTAATCACGTAACTTGCAGGATATAGTAATCAAAATTGCATATGTTAGGTGAGTACAGATAAGCCTGTTTGGAGCAAGAATAAGGACATCATCTACTTATCACTTTTCAGGTCCCCCAATAGCCCCATCTTCACCAGCACCTATACCTACCTCTACCTCTCTCTCTCTCTCACACACATGTGCATGCGCGCGAACACACACACACACACACACACACAGATCTTCCTGTGGTTTGAGATATTTTACCATCTGAAAGAGGCAGATAGGTTCGCACTTTTTAGGGTGTGCACTTTCTCCAAGATAATTTTTAATATTAGAAAATCCAGTTAATGCTGGCTACTTGGGGACTCTCTTTCTTTTAACACTTCTCTGATAGAAAATGTCGATTCTGCTCATTTTTTTCTCATCTTTAGTCAAGTTCTCTCTCTGTAGAAAACACCCCCCTTCCCATGTTAACTGTTTTTATAAACCATCTTTTTTAAAATATATATATATATTAGTGAGTTTTTGGTGAAAAGTTTACACAGTAAGTTAGGTTTCCATTTGACAATTTCCACACAAATTGTTCAGTGACGTTAGTTACATTTATCACAGTGTGTCAACATTCTCTTTAATTGTGTTCTGTTTGTCCCTTTCCAGTACTCTAGTTTCCCCCGCCCCCTTATCTTCTCATCTTTGCTTATAAACCATCTTTGGTGTAGAATCTTGTCAAAGGGTTTTTGAAAGTTTAAATAAAGTATATACCCTGCTTATTTGCTTATTTATCATCTCAAATAACTCAAGAAGGTTAATGAGACATGATGTCTCTACATATAAACTGTGTTGCCTTTCCCCTAACAGATTATGATTGCATATGCATAATCATCTTACACTTTTTTATAGATGCCACCAGTTTGCCATATATAAAGTGAGGCTTTGAGTCTCAGGATCCAAACTGAGCTCTCTTTTTCCGTAAAAATCTGGATAGGTGAATAAGTAATCCAGGATAACAGCCCATTCTGAAATTATTTCTCTTTTGGTATTATAATACATCATCATTTTCATTCTTCTAATCTTTGTTTCTGTTATGTTCAGCATTAAAATTAAATGTTTAACATTAAAATCATCATCAAGGGATTAGTCAAGAATTAAAAGAAGACCTAGAGTTAAAAGTGTGTGTGTGTGTGTGTACATACATACACACTATATGTGTATGTGTGTGTGTATATATAGTTTATATATGTATGTATAAAACTTAGGAGGATATATACACATGCACATATACAGTATGTACATGTATGGTCAATGGCTACCTCTGAATTATGAGATTCTGAGTAATATGTATATAATAAAATTACACTGCACAATAAGAAAATAAAAATTCATTTTTAAAAGAGAATTTTCAAATCAGATAACAGTGTCATATAATTACATTTTATTCACTAGGAACCCTTCATTTCCAGCCCATCTGATAAGATATAATTATAGTTACTTTGGCAGGTGTGAAGTTCTGCCTTAAGGTAGAAAATGGAGCGTGCTCTATAAATCCAGTCCTGTCCTGGGTGTTGAGGCTACAAAGTCAAGTGAGCTGTAACCCCTACCCTTAAGACTAGTACAGTTTTATGGGGGGGACAAACCACAATCTGTGAAACCTGTCAAAGTAGTGAGCCCTGTGGGAGGGCCACCTAGAGTCCCAGGGAGGCCCTGAGGGGAGGTGGGAATGAGGCTGCCAGCCCGACTCCTTCCATTCAAGTATTATTTTGTGTTCTGCATTTCCTTCCTGCCAATCCAATTCAGCAAATATTTACTGAATCTTTGCTATGTTCCAGGTACTCTAGGAGACAAGATACAACTACTGCCTGGAAGGGCCCTGCAGACAAACAGCAACAGTTGTTGAAATTTTATACAAAAATGTGACATACATGGAAAGTTATGATTAGGGAGATTGCTCCCTGTATCAGAGCCTAATGATTTTAGAGTGCTCCTGATGGACCAATAGTCCGAGTTCATTTTTTAATAATATTCATTCAACACTCTGATTTTTACCACAAAATAATTTTGCCCTCCTGACAAAGAATCATCAGGAGACTATAAACAAAGTGTCATTTTCAGGATACTGAGTAAATAGCCCTGGAAGTGATGCAATAGATGTGAGATGTTATTTGGTTGGTAAGAAAAGTTGATAAAAGCTTTATTTTGAAACATTCCTTCCCTCTTCTGAAATCCTGGCAGAACTTGCCCTCCACCTTGAGAGCTTCTGCCCCTAGAAAAAGTTAGCACCCCCTTCAGCACATGTTACAGTCTACTTCTTCACATTCTTTCCTTTTTTACTTTCCTCGCCTTCACACCACTTTCCTTGCCTTCCCCATATTCCGGTGCACACACAGGTTTCCAAATGTGGAGGAGAACTGCTGAGGGACTAAGTGACATTCTAATTGTTTAGCAGTTCAGGTGCTCTTGGTTAGCATGGAGCTAATTCATAAAATGTTAATACTCCTTAAAAAGAACATATGTTACAAGCTCAGGGTCTTGTCAGACACACTCCAATCTGTTAGCAATTTGTGGCTTGACAAAAGCTTATTTTTGGCCATATATCTGTCTCTACAGTTCTCTGTATTACAGCGTGTGCAAGTTCAAAGCATGATGACATTAAATAGCACAAGTTTTGGGTTTATTAGCTGGCTCCAAACTTTTTTATATGCACACACTAATTTTACCATATGGAATTAAATATGTCTGTTGGGTGTGCTCCGCTTGCCCTGATACATTTTATTCCATTCCACTTTTTTCTTTTCTTCTTTCTATACTGACCCTATGCATCCAGATCTATAATGGGGGAAAAAAATAGATTGACTCAGAGAGCAGGGAATTGCAGTGTAATGATTTCACGCTCAGCTGTTGGCTAACAAGGCACCATAGTTTTTATTTAGTGAGGCCCAGTGGCTGGAGATGAAGAATTGTGTAAGGCCCAGCTGCCACGGTTACAGAGCAAGCAGCTTAAAGGGCTTCGGGGTTCCAAGTGTGAGGGGAATTGTCTCTTCCCAGCAGGTAAGGAATAGATCTAGACAGTGTCTGTTGTGTTCAAGATGCTGACTGGCTTGGCCAATTCATGAATCCCAAAAATTACAACATCCTCTGGTCGGAGGAAGTGGAAGAGACATTTAGTGGTGCCATTAACCCCTTTAATGCCAGGGATGTATACCTCCTGCTTGCTGGCTATTTACAAGGGGACATTTTGTGTTTAAAGCATTTTTTAAAAATCTACTTCTCCTTTCAAGTTAAAATATACTAGATCAACTAGTTCATTATCTATTTAGATGAAATCTAGCTGGTAAGTCCATTTACTTTTGCTGCTCTCATATATTTACATTATTTTTTAGACAATTGGTGATTTTTTTACATGTTGGTCTAACAGAACCAGAAAAAAATGTGCCCATATTGTGTGTGTGCACACACACACATGTATGTCATCATTACTAAATTTATTCAATTTTTTAAACACTTAAACTTGTATATAGTAATTTTTGGTAAGTCAAAATGGTAAATTTGGCTGTTCCTCCATCTATGAAAAGTAGTTGGTAAACCAGTAAAGATTCTGAAAAAGAACACAAAGGTCACTGTTTATCCTATTTAAGAAAACTGTTTTCAAGCATGTTAGCATTACTATTAATATGCTAAATCCAAGGAGCCAATGAAGGTCTGTTTGATAAAGGTTAGCCCTGTGTGCCTCATTAATGCACTAAAGTATTTTTATTGTGTTTATGTGGAGAACTCACTGCTAGTCATTAGTGTAATATTTCCTATTTAATGCCTGCAATGTCCCAAGGATTGTATATCCCATGAAGCAGGCATAATGTGTTCTTAATACCTGCAGGTCCCTTATGGAGAATACTCCATTTGCTTCTGCTTTAGTTTCAGCCTCTTGCTCTCATGGCCACACCCTAGTCTTTAGGGTAAGGACTCACAATTTCAAACAGAGAACTCAAATCCCCAGTTCCAAAGTGAGTCAGATTTGAAAACAGTTACAGGTCCTATGGGAGTATCCTGGCTACAAAATCCATTCATTTCAAATCATATCCCTGATACAGAGCAGCCCTATTAAAAGTGGCTCATTGTCACACAAAGTCATATAACTATAGGTCTAGTCTTGTTCTCATTTTTGCAAAATGTATCTTCACCTATTCAAAGCCTGAGGGAATGTGGTTAGTCTATAAAGATGAGGGCTGGATCTGAGTTTCCGCCAACTCCAGAGTTGTGATGGGGCTCCACAGAATCCTATACTTTTTTTTTTTTTATTTCTAAATTCTTGTTTTTCTGCTTGATTTCTTAACAATTCTATTGCAAATAATACTTGCAGTGCTTTTACAACCGTCTAAATAAAAATTAGCTTGGAGTGACCTCCCTCTTGGAGTTCTCTATTTGGTTCCAAAGGGGCATTTTGTTCATTATCCCATAGATTCAGAAGAGGAAAATTGCTTCCTTTTTCTCTCTTCTATGAGTCGGAATTGACTTGACGGCAACGGATTTGGGATTTTTTAGTTGTCTTCTCTCTACATATTCCCTCTTTGATCCAGGTTCATGCCTAGATGGATGAGAGAATCCACTGGTAGCTAAATGTCTACATCTCACACTCACTAATGTGGAGAGAGGAGTCTCAGTTTTGCCCACTCATGATGTGTTATTATGGCCCATAGAGCTCAAAGAAACAAGTGAAGTAGCCTAAAGAAATGGAAATTAGGGCAAACATGAGATGGAGCAATCCTTGCAGTATGCAGGCTCAGTTGGAGTCATACCCATGCATTACGTAAAACCAAACTTGTGTGTTTGGGATTATGGTATTCTTAAATGCAACCAGTGAGTTGGTTGGCTACATAAACAAGTCAGACTTTCCTCGTGTGGTTACAACTTCTCCAAAATCCCACAGAAAAAGTATAGCTCCCCATATAAACTACTTATTCATACATTTGTTGTGTCTTGTGAATTGTTCTATGATCTTTTGGTCTCCATAGATACATAGCAACTTAAACGTAATTTAGAGTATAGTGGAAAAAATGGCAACTGGAATTATCACTTAGGAATTTTTGCAATCCGTGAAATTCTTTGTTTTCCTCCTCTTCCTCCCCCCCCCCTTTTTTTTTTACCACTAAGTCACTAAACAACAACAATTTTATAATATAGGAAATTAACATAATGGGTAAGACTTCAATTACATTACATTTTCAGGTTAACTTTTATGCCATCTCCTGGATATCTAGCAAAACTAGTGGACTTGAGACATATTCTTTGGCTTTAACACAGGGCTTCAAACTGGTTATTCCCAGTTCAGTCATGGCCAAGGAAGGGAAACCAGGACAGACTCAAATTTTTAAAATTTGGGTGAACCAGAATGATAACTGGAACAGGAACAATTATAGGTCAAAGCCCTGCTAGAAACCTAATCTTCCTCTTAAAAAACAAGAGCAGCACACATGTTGCATAGCAACCAAATCTCTTGCCTATCAGATTTTGAGCAGAGTTGGAGACAGTGGTGCCCCGCTCAAAGGTGACTGTTGACTGCGCTACACAGCCCTTCCAATAATCCAATCTCATGCATCAGGCTCCCGAAAGGGCTCACTACACCTCTTCTGAGTCTCCCATTCCAAGGCTTCAACCTGTAATTTTTCCCATTCCGATTATCATTCCAGATCACCCAGATTGTAAAAATTCAGATCTGTTCCGGTTTGGCTTTGTCATCTATGACTGGCCCGGTTCAAACTGGTTCAAAACCCTGCTTTGACAGCTTCATTCATGGAGATTTTAATCATTTCTGGTGCTGGTGTTGAATTTCATTGATGTTGTTGCTATTAGTTGCCTTCGAGTTGACCTCTGACTCATGGCAACCCCATGTATTACAGAGTAGAACTGCTCCCTAGTGTTTTCTTAGTGTAATCCATATGGAAGCAGTTTGCCAGGCCCTTCTTCCACGGAGCCACTTGATGGGTTCAAACTGCTAACCTTTGGGTTAGCATTTTCCACACATCACAAAACTAGAAAGAAGCACCAAAACAGTTTATAAATAATACATAATCCAAGTTACACTCTAAGAATCCCAGGGACAGACTGATGCATGTGTTATCAGTGAAATGTGAGTGATGGAGTTGGGCTCAGCTTGGACCTTGACCAGCTGCAGGGTTAGATGGAGAGGGCGGTAACAAGGTAGTGAGGAGACCAGTCTGGCTGGTGTCGAAGATTGTCCAGGGAAGAAGAAAGAGTGGAGTTGAAGAACTAACATGAAGCCCTAGACAGAGGCACTTGAATTTGAATTCTAAGCAGAGAAACTTTTGACCTAATGCAACAAGCAGTAAATATTATCATGTCCTTGAGGGAAATGGCATTATAGAAGCTGTGGGATTTGGATATTATTTTTAAATGTCATTTATCATGGGTTGGGTGGTCTAATTAAAAATGCATTATATGTTCATTATATAATTTTTTAACTATCTCTTTAATTCTTTTTTTTTAAATTTTACTGTGCTTTAGGTGAAAGTTTACAATACAAATTAGTTTCTTATTCAAAAATCTAAACACAAATTATTTTCTGACATTGGTTGCAATCCCCGCAATGTGTCAGCACTCCCCCTTTCCACTCTGGGTTCTCCATGTCCATTTGTCCAGTTTTTTTGCTGAAAGGTGGACTTCATGAGTGGCTTCAGTTCTGGGCTAGCAGGGTATCTGGGGCCCAAAGTCTCGGGGTCACTGTATAATTTTGGAAAAGAATGAAAAAAAAATCCCTTAGCATCTTAATACCTCAGAAATAATTTCAGTTAATATTTTGGTATATATCTTCCAGTTTTTTATTTTGTTTTGTTTTTGCTTTTTTTTCCCATAAAAT